AAAATCGTCGCGGCGCGGTAGCGATAAATAATAATCTAAATTTAACTGTGATCAAATCCTACGGAATGTTGTTACAGTCAATGTTATCGCTCTAACATTGTAATGGGAAAAAGAGGACAAAAGTTTGCTTAGATAAATAATATTAATTGTGGCTCTTCGATAAAGGAAAGAAATATATTGGGGCACGGTGTGACGCCCTATCTCACCTTGCGCTCATGTTCCAGTTTCCAACTGGTATCGAGTAAATTAATTTGTTGACACAATTCTTAGAAACGACAAATTGCAAGACTAACGCGGGCATATATTTGCAATGCATTGCTGAGCGGAAATATAGCGTATTATTAACCACAGGATGTGGTTCGTTCGTCTCACGTATTCGTTACTTTCCAATGCAATCACGTTTGCAACTAAGTTGCAGGCCGCGAGGCGTTGCAAGAATACTCGAGTGCATGATGCATGACAAATATGCACGCTAATGCAAGGGTACCCTTGCAGATTTATCTTCGCTCGTCCGCACCGATGTGCGAAACTCGCTCCCGATAAGTAATTAAACTTCCTAATGCAATTTGCATTAGTTTCTTACCAAGTACCACAGTCAGCAGAAACAGTAATGGAATATAAGCCTTACGCAATGATTAATTAGTGCAATCGTGCCGAGGAATCAACGTTACTTTTTTTATCTTCGATATTATCTCACGCGGTTGGTCCTTTTTCGTCATTAAAAAAACACCTTAGCGTTGTGCCCTTTTTTTTTAAATTTCAAAGCTCCTAATCACACGACGTCCAAAATTTACAGAAAAGTGGAAAGCTCGCGGGATTATTGGATCATCTTCGTTTCCCGTTGAATCTCACGTCTCGGGACGCGGTCGAAAGTGAAGCTAATAGCCGCGTATTTAAAACGATCCCTCTTATCTTCGCGTTTAATCGCAGGCGAGATCGCTCTGGGGTCCCGAGTAGAATTCTGGTTTATTAAATATCTTTTTAGTTTTGTATTTAATCTCAGGTAACATTTATAAGAAAGAGAGAGAGAGAGAGAGAGAAAGAGGGAAGTGCGACGAGGTAAGATCCCGGGTGAGCGACGTGCTTGTGAGTCGGCGATTCGTCGCGCTTCTCGGGCGCGTACGGAGCGGTAGAAAGCGCACGCGGTAAAAAGCTCGCGCATAATAATTCATCGGCGGTAGACAAGAAAGCGATGGGGGTCGCCGCCGTTATTAGAGAAATAAGCTTCGCGCGGTTACATTTCGAAAACGCCGATTGTTATTGCGCGCCGGCTAATGAGCGTCGGATGATGAATACGGCGTGAAACCCGCGTTATATTCGCGCGAGCGAGAGCACGGGCGAAGAAGCAGAAACGAGCTGCCACCTGTTGATCCTTGGCAGCCACTCGATATTTATGCATACGTGACGAAATATCGCTTAAAACGCTCGTCAACATTAACATAAGCCTGTACGTGGCAGCCCGCGCCGGCTACCGGCCGTCATATAAATATTAAGTTCCATCGTGTTCTTTGTCATCGGAAAGTAATTTTTTCGCGCGTCATATAAAAAGTCCGGAGTTAAGCGAGACGAGGATTTTCTGACGTGTGTTTATAACGGTGCGTATTTAAGACGACAAAGATGCAACGTAATCTCGTTAAATCATGCAAATAATAGCACGAGTAAATCTCTCTAACTGCAAAACACTTATTTCGCAGGTCATGAGGAAACTGCTTTAATTAGGCAAAGAATCTATATTGAAATAAAACTTATTCTGCGACATGTTGGAGTTTACTTATGGGGAAATTATGATAAAGTCGCACGAGTCGTTAAATCGAGAAGTAAATTATTAATTTAAAATCGAAAAAGTATATAATTCTGATCATCGGTTTAGAAAAACTAATTGCCATCTAGGAGATTTCTCTAATGAAACAGTCATCGTAGAACAATAAAATGAAAGTTTTGAGATTTTCTAGTGCTATGGCTAAAATTACCGCCACCAGAGTACAGCATTTGATTGGTACTCACCGAGCACCCTCTGTGTGACTCGAAAATAGCTGCTACTTCGACGATCAGTCACCTGTAAATATTATTTTTAAATACATTAATAATTGCTCGTACAAGATGTACATTTCATTCTTTATTAGACGTCATAATTTGTATGGATTAATCATACGAAAAGTTTTTACTCTTAAATCGTTACCCTTAAATGATAACTTTTCACCTTTCTTTCAATATGTGCAGTTAAGCTATTACACATGTATGAAATAGCAAAGGAGTAAAGTAAAATATTAACAGAGAGCGACTATTGTTTATAATCACTAATTGTAGAATTGGAGGAGATAATTAGAGAAACGATCGGTAGTCGGTAACATTGCAATAGCATGTACGCAATTGTAGTCAATGGAAAGTTATGTAAGAATTATAAGCATTTTATTTGACGATAAAAAGTTGTCTCTAATTGATAAAAATATTTCTCAATTTCCAAATAAAAGAGAAGGGATTTTAAATATAAAAATGCATCTGGGTCGTCCCATAAATACAATGCGGTGTAAAAGGGAGCTTGATTAGTTCTTTAGCTCAAAACTGAAACATTTTTTGTATCGTCATAGAAAATTGAAAATTCGAGACCAAAGTGCATGGGAAGACGTTGCAAATAATAATGAAAAATACGTTTAGGATTGAAAGTAAAAAAAATTTCTTTATCTCTTTGTTTCGTTTAAACAATATCTGTAAAAGCCTAAATAACGCTACGATCGCACAGAATTTACTTGAATTGTTCACTAAATAGACAAATTTCGTCGATAAAATCGGATTTTAGTCTGGACTCGCACCAAAAGGCAAAGTCTATCGATAAAATCGAACACATTTTAGTCCAGACTCACACCTACGCCGAGAGAATTTTCTCTTAAAATTTATTCTGAAAATCATGTAATCGTGGGACAATATAGCATTTCGAAAAACTTTATGAGTTTTTTGAAATTTTACCATACAATTTACTAATAATTATACTTGGTATGCATTTTACTAGTAAAATGGTATACCACACAAATATTGAATCAACATCTCACAAAATTCACGCAAGAACAATGCATAAATAATTGCACTCACCAGAGGGTCTCTCCGTCGCCGCCCGATGCCTCCCAGGCCGCCGCTTCCTCTCAGATTCCTCGCCGATTTTTCACTAGCAATCGGGCACAACGCGTCACTCGCGGCACTCGCGACACGGCACTCCCGACGTTAACCGACGCGAGCTCTGTTACAACGAGAGCGAGAAAAAGAGATGCGATCGAAGCGGGCGAGGACGAGCCGCCACAAAACGGCGGGAACGTTTCGGCGAGGACTCGAAGACACTCGAAGAACCGAACGCGAGCGTTCAACGGGGCGTCTCGCGCGGAAAGCTCGGGTATTTCTACACGCGCCTCAGGCGCGACTGAGGCTCGGTGTGCCCGCGGCGCCGCGAGGATCCGCTCAGTGAGAAATGATTCGTCGATCGACGTCGAAACGACGTGGAATCGACAACGACACCGTCGAATTGACGTCGATCGACGAATCATTTCTCACTGGGCGGCTGCGCCTTTCGGCCGGCGTTTCTTCTCGCGAGATTACGCGTCTCGGCGGTTCGCCGACGCGCGAGTATCGAATACTCTACGCCGCGGTTGCTCAACTTGATCGGGCGTTAACTCACCGGCGTCGCGGGAAGCGTCGGGACGACCGTCGACGCGGGAAACCGGTCGGCTGCGCGTCCGCGCGGAGCTCCGCGATGCTTCTCCATCAGACCAACATGGCGCCGTTACCCGGCGTTGCTCTGCGCGACACTACGCGAGTCGAGTCAGCGACGCGACTACTCGAGTATCACTTTGATACCGCAATGTATCTCAAGCGCGGTAAACTCACACGTTTCCTTTTCAATGATGAACGATCGACGAACTCGCGGCTTTCCCCTGCTCGAGCTACACCGAAGGAACTGGCGAGCGAGAACGGCAGACGGCGATTCGACGGTCCGCGTCCCGTATCTCCGAGTGCACTGCTCCGAGAAACGAAGATCAATCACACGATCGCGCACACGACCGTCCCGTGCCACTCGCACGGCAGTTCGAACGACAATGCGACACGTAGGTACGTCCTTCAGCGCGGCTCGCCGCTTGTTTGTCTCGCGCCGCCTCGGCGGTTGCCGCTTGTTTGTTTCGAGCCGCCGCGGCCGCTGCGCATCAAGGTCGGGGACGTACCGTGTGTCGCATTATCGTTCGAGCCGCCGGCACGTACGATACACGTCACGGCCACACGATTGAGCTCGATTCCGCGGGTACCGTGAGTTGTTGTACGTCGTCTTCGTTTCTCGGCGAGTACACTCTGGTCCGAGATGCGGACAGTGGACCGCCGGATCGCCGTGAGTGGACGAGAGCCGCGGGGGTGTCGGTTGCTCGTTAATGTGCGCACTTGCCGAGTGAATATATCCCGAGAGATGCGTCGAAATGCACCGAAGTGACGTTAAATATCGCGTCGTTAACTTGACTCACGTAGCACTGCGAACCGGCGTCGTCGTGCTCGTTTGCTTGAAGAGCGCCGTGGACACGCAGCGGCCGGACCTCCTGCACCGACGATGCTCGTCGCGACACGTTCTACAGTTTACGCAGTAAGTAACAATTAGAGTTTGGCAATTGCGCGACTTACTCTTGTCCTTCGCGTGTCGGCAATCTCGCGTGTCGACGCTCTCTGCCACCTGTACAGCGAATTCGGTTACTTGCACTAGTGCACACTGAGTGCACGGAGTGCACACTAAGGCTTGTTCACAGTCGATTCTAATGCGGCATCCACGCGGATCATGTTTTGGCTAAATACTCTCCGAACGTGTATTTCAGACAAAGTTAAGTATAAAAATTGACTATAAACTGGCCCTAGTGCGAGCAATCAAATTCGTTGTTAGGCGCAGAAAGGGCGAAAGGGGGCGGGGGCCGAGTGCAGTACAGAGCAACGTCCGTACCGACGCGGTTACCGACGCGACAGCGCCGGCTGGCGGTCGCTCGGCGAAGCGCCGTCAGCTGAGCCCGAGCGTCGCGGGTCGCGGCGGACGCGTATTCGTAAATAACGACGCGCACGGGCAGGTCGCGACGGGCGGGGGCAGCTACTTGGACGGACGAGCGACGCACGCGATATGGTAGACTTGAAGACGAACGTGAGCTTCGCGTGCCAACGATGTCTACAGCCGCTGCGACTGGACTCGAGCTTCGACCACCTCGGCGAGCACACCCTGGCCGAACTCTCGCGTAGGTAATTTCTAATTTTCCACTGGCGACTTGGGCCCGTTGACCACCGATCCGATTGTCCCCCCCCTCCGCGCTGATAAACGCTTTCCCGCGTACGCACTGGCCGCTCGCGACGTACGACGCGCCAGGTCCGCGCCGATTCCCGATGAACGCTCGCCTCTGAGCGACGCGGATTTTCCTCTTAACTTGGCGACGAACCTGACTGTTAATTAACGCGCCAACGCTTGTCCGTCCGTGTGTAAACAATGACGCTTTTACGTAATACACAACATACGAACTACCTGCAGCGTCATTCATTATGTAAAAAGAAACGATGTTCTTAAGATGTTCTTAATTGTTTGTGTAGTTTAGACGTTAAATGTGTTATTCTAGACTGTGCTCGAGGGTGTTGGGTGTTGAATGTGCGTAACAAGAGATTCAAGGTATAACCCGAGGGGGAAACCGCTGATGGCATTGTGGTGTACAGATTTGCGGGGTTACTGGGCATTACTAGGTCTTGCTGGGGCAATGTAAAGATGAAATAAGATAAAGTAATGCCCAGTGGGCATTGGTGTACAAGATTTTGCTCAGCGGTTTCCCCCTCGGCGCAACCATTTAGTTTGCTGTAGAGTCTACATTCTGAATTCTAGGAGAGAGAAGGATTCGCCGTTTCGGTTACTTTTTTGCTTTCCCTTTCTTTCTATCGGGCGTAGAAATAGAAAGAGCAAAACAAAAGTCGCCTGTTGACCAGACTCCGATTACAGGGACTGGGGTTAGTTACCTAGGATGGTAAGCTACACGTATAATTGTTGTCCTGTTGCAGTTCCTATACAGCAGCAGGTTGTTGGAGAATTAGAGCCCCAAAGCGACAGTATAGAACACTTGGTTCCACCGTTCAGATTGACCGAGTCGGGAAATGGTACAAATGGATTCATGTTGGTCGGCGATTCCGGCGAGACGGAGAGTTTGAGTCATCATTTGAAGGTACGCGGAAACGTCGGGGAATATTTCGAATGCGAAACCTGCGCGCAATTTCATATCTACCTGTATTTCCTCAGGTGCGAGCAACATTATTTGACATTCTCAGCAGTAGCAGTTCGGCGGACCATCCACTTTGCGACGAATGTACAGACAGCCTCTTGCTGCTGATGGATCAGCAATTGCGAATGACAGAGGGGGAATGGTCGGATTATAATGAGTACCTGAAGAAATTAGAAATTGAGCAACAGTACCAGGGACATGAGGACGTGGAGATGGAAAATCTCACCAAGGAGCTGCAGGACGTAAAGGCCGAGGAGGAGAGAATGATAAGGGAGCTGGAGGCATTGAGAAAGGAAGAGATAGCCACTAGGAATGCCATAGCGGAACAGGAGAGAGAAAGGGAGAAATTGCAGAGCGAGGAGGACAGATATTGGAAAGAATATTCAAAGCACAGAAGAGATCTCATGTTAGCTGACGATGAATGTCGCAGGTATAGAAAACAATCCCGAGATATAATTAAATAGGTTTTCAACAGTGATCGTTTATTAATATTTCTACAAATATATTCTTGTCTTTTATCGTCACTTAATTGTTCATCGTTATTATTGGCCTTTACTTTCTCTCCGTGTATTGTTATTACAGAGTGTCAGTTTTATTTTAATTAATACTTCTATTTGCGTTACGTAAAATCGATTTTTTCTTTCACAGCCTGGACAATCAACTCTCGTACGCAGCCTCGCAGCTCGAAAGGTTGAAGAAGACGAACGTTTTCAACGCCACATTTCATATCTGGCATTCTGGCCACTTTGGGACTATAAATTCATTCCGATTGGGACGATTGCCGAGCGCGCCGGTAGACTGGAGCGAGATAAACGCCGCGTGGGGGCAAACTACCCTTCTTCTAGTGGCTCTCGCGCGCAAAATGAATTTAACGTTCAAGCGTTTCCGTTTAGTGCCATTTGGCAATCACAGTTATATCGAGGCTTTGGATCAAAACAAAGAGCTTCCCCTGTACGGAAGTGGAGGATTCAAGTTTCTATGGGACACGAAATTTGACGCAGCTATGGTCGCGTTTCTGGATTGTTTGCAACAATTTAAGGAACAGGTGGAAAAGGGAGACAGTGAATTTTGTCTGCCATATAGAATGGATCGGGGCAAAATTGAAGACTCCGCTACGGGCAACTCCTATTCCATAAAGTAATTTGAGTTTGCAAGTATTAATATCCTCGTTATGATTTAATCTACACGTGAAAAATTTACTTATACTAGACAACACAACTGAAGCATGTCGTATCGCACAAGCGAGACAGCCAATCAGCATCTCGGAAAAGCTACAATACTTTGAGACTTTCGACTATCGACTTAACGTCTTTTTTTTATATAGGAAACTATCGACTTAACACGTCTTTTTTTTTATATAGGAATACAGGAGGTTCGTCTAATTTTTCTTCTCTTTTTCAGAATACAATTCAATTCAGAAGAACAATGGACTAAGGCCTTAAAGTTCCTACTGACAAATTTAAAATGGGGTCTTGCATGGGTTAGCTCTCAATTCACAAAGGATGAACTGAACACAAATTGAATGTCAGTCTCCTTGTAATTCTGTATAAACTTTAATTGTGCAAGTATCTCGTCATTGCTTGTGTATAAATGCTCTATTTGTAAATAAACGCGGTTGAACGATGTAGCATTGGTATCTATTTTTAATTTGTCGTTCTTTAATTTATTTTAAATGGCCGAGCAAGAGGCCTTTCCTAGTTTTGCTTTATTTAGCAGTACTCAGGTTTATTAAGAAGGAACCAAGACACACCGTAGAGGAAACTGGAGGGACTTTGTATCTCTTTGGATCTCGTGTAATCCTTCAGCTCAGGAACACTCAATTCCACCACTTCTATGACTTCGCCTTCGGACTCGTCACCGCCACCTTCAACGGAAGATTCAAAGATTGAATTGGAAATCAATTGTACGAAATATAGTTTGTTGATTATATTATGCAAACAATATTTGAAATAGCTTTCAAAAAAGAAACAGTTACCTACCAGGGTGTATCCGCATGTCGTCCGTGACTTCGACGTAGAAAAGAGTCTGCTTTGCACTGGCAGAGGCACTGGATCTAGAAAACGTAAGAATCAACTGTTTCACACTTGGGATATTCTAGATACAGCTTGGTCTATTCGTCAAGGTAGAAAATTATTACATATATAGATGAAAGGTATTTTACAAGTTGTACTTGTCTCCCGTTACTTCTGAATTGATTACGTAATGCGACCAGAGTGTAGTCAATATTTTCAACTCACAGATACGTAGTAATTTGCTTAAACGCGGAGGTAGGTGCCTCGTAGCCGCACTCCTCCTTCAGTTCGTCCCTAGCGATCTCGACGAGGGGTTTATCCTTGTCCACGATTCCGGCGCAGAGCTCCAAGGCCAGCCCCAGTGTCGCGGGATAGCGCTGAACGTCGACCGCGTCCTGCTCCTCCGGTAGGGACGCGTAGTACACCGCCGGCCGGAATTGTCTGACGAACACGAGCTTCCTGCTACTCGTGTTGAAGACGATTATACACACGCTGTCGTGGATCCTGATGATGTCCCAGTCCTTAGAGCGACCGTCCTGCGTGTAGTTCAAGCGCACGCTTCTCAACCAGGGCGAGTTCTGCGGGACTTTTCCCACGCGGACGTCATGCAGGTCGAGCATTCTCTTGCGAACGACCTGGTTTCGCTCATCCTGTGCCGCGGTATTCATCTCGTGCCAGAGTACCTCCGGGTGGTTGACAGTGTCAGCTGGTGTCAGCTGACACAGAGATACTTAACTCTTGTCGATAACGACAGCGAACCTTGGATCCGTCCAGAGATGCCGCTGCCTGTCGCCAGACCGAGCTCTAGAATACATTTGTTGAAGATGTTAGATCGCGTCATATGTATATTCCAACGATGCCTTCGATTTCAGGGTGACGTCCAGCTTTACCAGCGCGAACATGGACAGTCTACCTTGTTTTCCCGTGGCTCCTTCAATGCCTGCCACTAGATCGAGCGCCAGAACACAAATTCGCCGTGGATGTTAGATCGAGTTCCAACGATGTCTTCGGGTCCAGGGCCAAGTCCAGCTTTATCAGCGCGAACTTGAACAGTCTACCTCGTTTTCCCGTGACGCATCTTTAATGCCTGCCACTAGATCGAGCGCCAGAACACAAATTCGCCGTGGATGTTAGATCGAGTCGCATATTCCAACGCTTTCGAGTCCAGGGCGACGTCCAGCTTTACCAGCGCAAACTTGAACGGCCCACTTTGTTCTCTCGTGGCACGTCCTTCAATCGACACGATGGATTCTGCGAATGATATTCAATCAATGAACGGAAATACACGTTTAGTCGAGGTCGTGTCGATTATAATCGCACAATGCGCGACGTCAAACGCGTGCCGTCTTCCGCGCGTGGGGGACAAGAAATTTTCCCGTGGAACTGATTTATCGCGACTGGAAATTGCGCGTTTCTCTTTCCACGCTTTTAAGTAATTTCTTAACGGCGAGATATTAAATTTACGAGGGACGTAATCGTCTCGTCTCTCCTCCGCGCGGCGATCGTTCTCGCAATTAGCCCGGCCGAGCTTGCGAAAAGTATGGGTTGCGGCGTAATCGAATTTAGCGCGTCGTGTAAAATTAGGACCGGCGTAACGCAAACCGGTCGCGCAGCGTGCGCCGTGCTTAATATTTTTCGAGCGAGATGCAAACCTCCGATAAAGCTGCTTCCCTTTCACGATCGTGCGCCGGGATAATGAGCGAGGGGCGCGGGAGCGCGAGGGACGGTTTCGTTACTTCTTTCCCTTCCTCTCCCTCTTGCCCTTCCTCTCCTTCTCCTTCCTCTCCCTCTCCTTCCTCTCCTTCCTCTCCTTCCTCTCCTTCCTCGGTGCGTCGGCCGGCGGCTTGAACGCGTCGAGAATCTCCTGATGCCTGACCTGGGTGTCCACGTGAATGACGTCGGGCCTCCTGCGGTACCTGTTGACCGCCGCCGGCGGCGAGAACTCGATCTCCATGTCCGACGCCGTCGAGCTCGACGCGACGGAGGCGTCGTCCTTGTTCCGCGCGATCTTGAACTGCAGCGGCTTCATCGGCTCCTCGAGCTGCGACACGTCCGTCTCGGTCTCCCGCTTGATCGGGTGCATCGTCACGTAGTACGTGCCGTCCTTACGGTGAATGTGCAGGGTCGGCGGCTGCTCCGCGTCCTCCTCGTCCTTCTTCGCCTGCGAGGACACGTAGCTCATGCTCTTGAACTGCTTGCCGCGTCGCAGGCTGGTGCGCGAGGGTATCGACCTCGCCCGGTAGTCCTCCAGCCTGGAGGCGCCCTTCGCCTCCTTCAGCAGCTCGTTGAGGAAGCGCCCGATCGCGCCCGGCTTCCAGCCGAGCCGCGGCTTCAGCTTGCCCACCGTCGCGCTCGTGTTCCACAGCCAGCCCATGTTGGCCGGCACCCTGAATCGCGGGTCGATGCAGTTCTTGTGGCCGAAATTGGTCCCGGGATAGACGTCGCCGATGGAATAAACGTACCGCATCACTCGCTTGCTGACCTTGACGTGGCCCCTGTCGCGATCGCCGCCCGGACCCACCCTGCCCCTCGGAAATCGTCCCCTCTCCACGGACTTGCCGGCGGCCTTGGCGACGATCGGTGCCGGCTGCACCGGCATCTCCTCGACGACGTCGTGCGCCACCGTCCGCTCGTCTTTGAGCTTCTTCCGGCGAGACTTGCACCTCGGCTCGCCGCAGGGACCAACGTCGACGTCCGACGGCGCGGTGCTCGCGACGTCCAGCTCCTTCTGCTTTTCCAACTTCTCTTCCTTCTTGTCCTCCTTCTTCCTCGGCCTGCCGCCGGCGACCGGGAACATCATTTCCGGCAGCGACGGCATCACCGGTATTGCCTCGCGCACGACACCGGGGCGTCCCGGAGCCGCTGGCGTCAACGGAGCGGCGTGAGGTGCGAAGACGGTGCTGGCGACGACTCTGCCGATCTGCGTGTTGCAAGGCGCGGGGCACTGAATCGGCACCGCTGACGGCACCAGATACCCCCGTTTCCTCTCGCTCGGTGCAGCCTCCTGAACGGCGCAATCCCTCTGCGCGTCCCGGCCGAAATAAGGACTCTCGGACGGATCCATCAAGCCGAGACCCACCAGACCTGGCACCTTGCCGAGGGAATCGACGAATTCCTGGGCCTCTTTGAAGGCGCGGATCATGCAGTCCGCGCCCACGCACGGTTTCCTCGTGCACCTAAATCCTGAATCCCTTCCTGGACAGACGCAGCCTGCCGCCTTGATTCCGTCCGCCGTTCTCGGTCGTGGTCTGAACGGCGAGCCGGCGCCGATTTCCTTCTTCTTCTCGTACAGGACGGTTGTCCCATCGGAAAGCGCGTACGCTGACGCACCGTAGTCGCTGCCGCCCATCATGCGAGTTTCGAAATTAACGTCATCCCCCTGCCACGTACACTCCTCGTTCCACGACGCTTCGTTACTTAGGTGACTGTTGTCCGCGTCCTCGCCACCTCTCAGCCTCCTGGAGTCGTGATAAGTCACGTCTTGCTCCACATCTGGCCTTAAATCGTCGGGAGCGAGCGTGGCGAGCGACGGAAAATTGCCGAGCGCCTCGGGCTTTCTCAAAGCCATGCAGCAAGAACGTAGGCACCCGGAGCGACACATCATCGGATGCGCCGATCGGTCTGTCGGCAGGCACGAACAGGTCGGCTCGTCACGATAGGTCTCGTAAATGAACCCACGGAACTTGCGGTCGTTGAGCTTCTCGGCGCTCGTTAATCTCTCGAATCCCGGCTGGCCCATCGACACTCGGGGTGGCGATTCCGGCCTCGTCAACGCGCACCGGTCGCGCACCTTGGAGCGTGCGGGATCCAGAATCTTGGACAGCAACGACGCGTCGGTGTCGTCGCGCGTCGTCTCGTACCGCTCGTCGTTTACGTCTCGGTCGGGCGACGGCTGCGCGCAAGAAAACTGCCAACCGAGAGGAAACCCTCGAAGTACGAATGACTTTTCGCGCAGCGCGAGGTGATTTATAATTGAGCTGCCGAAGCACGACAGCCGCAGGGACATCGATATCGATCCGCACGGATTCCCGTGTTCGTCGCTCAAGGTGTAAATCTTGGTCAGCGTGTACGACCTCGACAGCCCGTCTATCTCGCCCTTGGCCGCGGCTACGCGATCGCAGAAGCATCCCGGCAAAAATGCGGTTGCCGCGCAGAGAAGAACACGTCGCGGGCCGCGGTCCTCTCCATAAGGAATCCAGTACACCTCGATGCTCAGAGGAGTCGATTTTACGGATCGCATTAAGTCGCTCGGTGTCCGAACGAGCAGGCACGTCTTGCCTTCGAAACTGATGAACTCGTCGGAAACTCGGCTCTCTTTGTTCCCAGTTGCTCTGGCGGTAGCCTTAGTTGAGTCCTCGGCTACGATGTCGACGGGTTCGAGGTCGACGAAGCCTACGCGTACCGTCAAGTCGCGATCCTTGTTGACGGTCTTCTCGGGACACAGATTTAGACCGTCGACGAGGATTTCAAGCATGTACAACTGTTCCCTCTCTAATGTCGACAGCCTCTTCTTCAGGGCCATTTCGCGCACGTTGTCGGCCACACTAGAAATTTGGAAGGTGACTCCGGAGCGACGTTAACGATGCGCCTGTACGAGCCGCGCCATTAATTTTGCAAGCGTTTCGGGTCTGAAATCGAACGATTTACCCGCGAGCGGATGAAACCGGTCAATTGACATTCCCAATTGTCAGATGGTTGCCATAACGACGAGTCGAAAATCATTCCACGACAGGGAGTCGCACTTCAGACCACTCGGACGGCACCTACCAGGCTCACTTCTTGCCCTTCTTCTTTTTACCTTTCTTGCCTTTCTTGCCTTTCTTGCCTTTCTTGCCCTTCTTGCCCTTCGGCACTTTCGCTCTTTTGGCCTCCGGTTTTGGAGCAGCCGACACCTCGTCCTTGGAGATTTTCTCGGCGAGACGCTCGGGCGATACGAATCGCCTCACGCAGACCTCCCGTTCCCGCTCGGCGGGGACGAGGGGTTTAGGGTGCAGCTCGCAGCGCGTCCCAAAGACGCGCCCGAGACACGCGACGGTGAGCTCCATGTGCAGCGTGCCGGACGGATCTCCGCCCGGATCCACGAGGTGGATGCCGCCCTTCGCCGCGAACGGTCTCGGCTGGTTGACGGGATCGTTGCCGATCATGGCGATCTGGTCGCACAGGCAACCCGGCAGGGCGAACTCGGTCTCCGCCGTGGGATAAGTGTCGTTGGCGCGAAACACGCCGATCTTCAGGCTCGACGAGCGCAGCCCTTGGACCAGATCCCGCGGTCGCCTGACGAACAGGCAGCATCGGCCGGCCATAAAGCGCACATCCTGATCGCGCCTCGACGCCTCCGAGTCGTCTTGCGTGAACTCGAGCACGGGGAAATCTAAGAGTTTCATCTTGATCACGATCGGGTGCCCGCCGACGTCTTTGATTTTACCGGGCGTCAACGTCAATTTATCGATCAGTATCTCGATTAGGTAGATCTGCTCGTCGTGACCGCCGAAACAGGACATGACGTGACTCGAGCGGGAATCAAGTTGTATCTGCGCTTAAGGTAGATTCGATCGAGCCCGATCTGATGTCTCCATTCGAGGTAGCTGAAATAATTTTGTGACGAGAGCTTTGCGGAGCCGGACAATGTTGCGTAAAACGGACAATTTTGTGCCAAGAATTTGGAGGTTCGAAAGTATCGTGGCTGCTTGACAGATGGAAGGTGACAGTAGAACAGCACTTTTTATTAACTCGAGTCGTAAAGCCCGTATCGGGTAAAGTTTACTCTGATCGGTCAAATTTCAATTGAATATCAATCCGTGGTCGGATACGGGCTTTATTCTGATTGGTCAAGTGCCAATCTCTAATCTCACTCTCAATCCGTACTCTCTAAAAGTCAATCAGTGAATATCCACTGAAAACAGTGAATATTTAAAAGTACATTGATAAAAAACATCCTCATCCAAAAAATATTACTTTACTCAAGAAAATTATTCATTAGTTGGCTCCTAATAGCTTATTAAGTTAAATTTAAAAATTAATAAACAAATTGCTTCAATTCAAGTATTTATTAAATATTAAAGAATAGATAACATTTAATTTAAAAAATTTTATTTTAATTCTATGAAATGTTTACTAAGATGTAATTTTTACAAGAAAGAAAATTGGATTTCTTATTTAACAAAAACAATTATTTCGTTTAACGAATAGTATTCTATATCTCGCGAAATCTTTATTTAAATGTAGAAAATGCATAGATTTACTTGAAATTTGATATTGTTATTTAAATAGAATTAATATTTACTTCGGTAAAAAAAATAAGTTTGAGTAAATCTATTTGCTTGGCTTAAAAAAAATTGTCAGTGCATAGCACTGAATTATTCATAGCTGATATCAGTGATAATGAATTAATTGACTCTTAGAGAGTAGTTACATGCGTTTTGCTCAATTTTACACAGTAGACAAATTGGAACTTCACGGTGGAAGTGTGTGAGGTAACGATCGAAGAAGATTAATTTAGTCGACGTCGCGTATACAGAGTCTCTTGCCGCGAAGATTGGATTTTAAATACCGCCTCTCTCAGCCTCTTCCGCGTGTGCATGTACATACGCGCACGCTGTCATCGACACGCGGCAAAAAACCTATCAACTTACGGTCACGTACATCCACTATCCGCGCGACTCTTCGGCGTTTCTAATTCCGCTGGCAGTTATTACCTGGCTCCCAAGGTGGTATATACTTAAAGTCGACGGCGCGAGAGATGCCGCTAGAACCGTTACGAAAACCCGCGAGAAGACACCCTCGCGAATTCATGCTTTCCTGCGTTCCTCATTAGGAAGGATAATTCCGCGAACGCCCACGTGCCATGTCCCGCGCGCGCTCGCGAAACGCTCGGCGGCGAAATCTCGTTGATTTCAGATAAAGTCTTTGCCAGAGAAATTAAAACCTCTGTTGAAAAGATTTTAAACTTTTAATCAAATCCATAAAGGAGTAACATTTCGTGCGCCTCGCAGAACGGAAATAAAAACACGCGGTGCTTAATCTCTTCTTCATCCGCTGAATGAAACGCGTCTATCTCGAGTTATTTCCCTCGTTTGAGGGAATCGTCGGGGCCCGGCGACGAGTAATCTCGCTGACGAGGCTCCCGGGCCGTTCGGGGCGGAGGGGGGATCTCCCATTCCGTGGATTTCGACGGGAGCAGCACCCCGAGAAGGGTCCCCTAAAACACCGAAGGGCCCAAGTATGCGCTAATTGGTACGGGCGCGCGCGCGAGCGAGCGCGGACGCACACGGCTCGGGGCGAGATAGGTGGACGACAAAGTGAACGGGATGGACCACGGGGTACGAGATATATATTCCGTGCCGCGCTCGATCGTCCGGTGCGCGCGGCGGAGGCCCCGCCGGGCCTCGGACCGAAGTGAAATTCCGGGCCCGGGCGACACGGCGGCTCGTTAAAATGCTTCTGGGGGTTTTGGGCGCGGGACGCTTCTCGGATAATTGGTGATTAGCGATTAAAACGAACGGATGTGTCTCTGCCCGGCCGGTCTCTCCCATCTCGCCGCGCCGCCGGCCTCTTTTCCCTCTTCCTCGCGAGGGTCGCCCGGCCGGGATCCATAATGTCTGCGTCTCGGAGCTGCCGTCCCGACGCGCCCCGCTCGTCCGTCTCGTCTCCGCGCCCCTCGGAGTGACGGTGACGATCCTCTCGCTTCCTGCAAGCCGCCCTTCTCCCCCCTCGCGAAAGAAACGGCTTTAATCGTGCGACCCGACCGTCGGGATCGCTTTCCTCCGTTGACTCGTTCGCTTCTTCACGAGGGCGCGCCTGGGAATCCGAGGATCCGCTGCGATAATCGGTATTCGAACGACCGGAAATACCCTTGGAAACTTCTTTAAGTAAACTCTTATAGATTTGAAAGATCACTTTTCAAAACTTTAATTTCATTTAAAGTAAATTTTTCCAAGAGTAACGATCGAACGGGTTAATTTATCGCGGGTCCTTCATACCGGAAGGAACTTGGCGCGCCTCTTCTGACATCCTCGTATCGCTCGTAAGGGAATCTTAAAGACCGACTCCTGTTTTGGCTCGCGCAACGTGATCCTCGCTCGAGCTTCTATTCTCAGGCAACAAATCGCACCGTTTCCCGCCGTGGCAAATGTCAATTAGCGCATACACGCTGTGGCGTTAGTCCAAATAAGACGCTGTGCAAACAACAAAGTTTCAGAGAACTCGACGACGCTCGGTAATTACACGCGCCCAGGACTGATATCACGGTTGCGCCGGCGCCATCGTAATCTCCGGTGCGGGATTTGCGCGAGAAGCGCGCGAGCGCAAGCTCGAACAATGGCAACAGTACTTGAAGAATAGTCGCCGTAATCAAATTAAGTGTCGCGCGTCCGCTTAAGGATTAATCACTGTAATCAGCGATCTCTCCGCGACAGCGCGCCGCGGTACCCCCCTATTTCCGGTTCCATAACGACGAAACCGTTATCCCAGGACCCGCGCGTACTCGACCCACCGACACATGACTCGTCGATCGATACCGAATCGACGTCGAATCGACGTCAATTTGAATCGGTGTCGATTCGACAAAGTTTACAATCTTTTTGCAGGCCTGTGTCCGCGATGCTAGAATGCCTGGTCCAAGTTCTAATTTCGTGAAATGTGTAGCCGATCGATCCATAAAATCTGCAAGTTGATCGGCCACACGTTTCTCGAAGCTAGAACTTGGGCGAAGGCATCGTGGACGCAAGCCTTAACAGAGATTCAATTCTCTTGCGACGAACGCGTCTCTTCGTTCGAAACCAACGAGATTTCGCCGCCGCCGTTTTGCGAGCGCACGAGGGACACGTGGGCGTTCGCGGAATTGTCCTTCCTAATGAGGAACGCACCCAGCGAGAAATGACTCGTCGATCGATGTCGAAACGACATCGAAACCGTCGAGTTAACGTCGTTTCGACATCAATCGATGAATCATTTCTCGCTGGGCAGGAAAGCGTGAATCGACGTCAATCTGACGGCATCGATTCGACATCGTTTCGACCCTAGTAGCACAGTGCATTGGCTAAACGTTGGCTAAATGTCCAGTGTTGGTTATATTAGAAATGCACGAAATAAATATAAATATTGCACAATAATAATTATATAATCAATATAGAAAATTGCCATACACTCTAGGCAGGCGTCTGTAGGGAGGTCCAGGTTCAAACCCTGGCTGAGGTAATATTTTTCGCAACGAATTTTGTTTAATTAGAATTTGCCAGCCAAGCGTCGTCTAACAATTTTCCACATTGGTTAATTATGTACTGGCGTTAAATAATTCTTTATGTTAATTATATAACATTAGATTTATATTGGAGGTGCATTGGCCAATATCTAACAATACTGGCTAAATACGAAAAGGCGTCCATCTTACAATATTAAGCCAATATTGGGAACACTAGGTTCACATTAGCTCCCAAGATTGCGCCAATATATTATATATTGTGCTACTAGGGGACACCGATCGACAAATTACTTCTCACTGGGGAGAGGATCGCGCGCAAGAAGAGCGACGAAACGCACTCGGCGACTGGAGAGACGAGGCCGTCGTGCAGATCTCTCTCTCCCCTTTCCCCTCGCGTTTTACAACCCAAATGCATTACGATGTTGAGTCTATTTTCTCCCGCGGCGCCTAAGTGGTCGCGCGGCTTAATTATAAACATCGCGGAGAAATCTCCGTCGCGCACGAAGACGATCCCACGATGCGACTACACGCCAGTTCTTCGGCTTCTCCGTACCACAGGTAGCTCCTACTCCCCGTGCCCCACGTACTCGTTACAATGCACGGCGAGCAGATGAGAGCCCGCTCTGCCCGGAGTCTCGGAGTTCATCGGCAATTTGAATAATTTTCTCCCGAGAACGATCTCTCGTTTCGTCTAACGCCGCGTACGGCTTTTTATCTGCGCGACGCTCTCGCTTCGCGCGCGTCAACGCGGTTGAATCTTTTTAACCGATACTCGCATGCGTATTACACGCAAGTGTCAAGGCGGGTTTCTTTTTCCTGGCTTTAGAACGACTGGCCGCTCTTTCGATATACCATAATATACAGAGGAAAGTCCCTTATTGTGAGATAAGCTTCTAATATGAGATAGCAGGTGTTCAACGTCCAAATTCAATCGTAATCTTCTTTCGCGGCGAGTAAACAATCTAACAATGAATTTTCCACTAAATAGAGAGAGAGAGAGAGAGAGAGAGAGAGAGAGAGAGAGAGAGAGAGAGATTTCACTCCGAGGGCGATAAATGCATGGTGGGATCAACGGAAGATGTCTATTAATTTGGTGGAAATGCTGTCTCGTAAGAGGGGATTTTCCTCTGATGATTTTAATTGTCGATAATTTTCAGCGTGCAGTTATTTAACATTCGAAAAGTTATATCCGCGTGTGAGAACTGATGATGAAATTACGCCCGCGATACTCGCGCCGGCTCGCGTTCTCCCTCACCCCGCGGACGAAAACAAGGTAACCGCCGCTGTGTTGCGCGTGACCTTGTTATCATTCGCAGGGGGGCTGGGGGCGAGGGAGAACGCGAGCCGGCGCGAGTCGCTCGGCGCGTCGTATTACCGTGTCATTACCGTTCGAGACGCGGCCGCGCGAAGTGCCGCGATTCCTGAA